ATACATTTCACGTTTAGTTCATGTATTATACACACACACTACTACAATTATGTCAAACTACGACACTCAATAGACGACCGTTTATATAAAAACTGTCATGGTGTTTGAAAAGACGACGAGTGTTATAATACCGTCGTGGTAAGGTACCTAACCTAATACACTGATGCCTTGGGTTAATTTTTAAAATTACGACGATAACCATCGTGTTTTTAGGAGGCGCTAAACAGAATTGAACTTTTAAGTTCGCGAGCAAGGAGCTTTTCAGAAAACCCTTTCTCACATCTATGAAGCAAACTTTCCAAGACTTCGACTCTCTCATTATAACTATTCATTGTAACAGTCTCTCCGCGACATAAATTCCACCTCTTTGTGAAAAAAAACTGATTTGCTTTATACTAGACCTTGTGGATTTGCTTTATACTAGACCTTGTGGAATGAAAGAATCTGCTCGATGGTTTTCCGCAACCCGAGAGATAGAATCGGGCCCTTATTCAACTAAAGTTGCACTTTTGCAAAAATTACATTCAATTGCAACAAAATTGAAATTACGTACAAAGATGAAAAGTGAACATGTTGACACAGAGACCAACTTTTAACTTGTAATGAATTTTTTCTGAATTAACGCATCGTCCTAATTAGTCATCTTTCTCCTCTCGCTTTCTATCCTATTGTTGACGAGAAAATTTTCTCTGGTGAATGACTCAAATTGTGTTCTACTACCCCACAAGAGTTTCAACGGTACAGACACAACCAAAAGCAATTAGAGAAAGCCAATGGGTTATCACCACAGTGGTGGTGGATTACCCTCCCCCATGGCACCTATGTTCGAAACCCCAAAGAGTTTCTTTCCTCCGATGTAAATTATTAATAAATAAAAAACAATCAGAGAAAATTCAACTCTCAAACAGAATGATTGTAGGAAAAAAGAAAAGAAAAAAAAAGGTTTTTAAAATTTAAAATTGAAAATAACAAATAAAGGTTTTTAGCTATATATAGTGGCAACAACAATCATGATAAATGATGACAATAATATCACAGGCAACATTCTCAATTAATTAATTAATTAATTCCTATTATATGAGGGAAACAATAATATCTTAAAATAGCCAACCAAATCATACAAGGTTGGCCTTGTTAAAATCCTTGCAACTTGGTATAGTTTTGTAAGCTAAAGCTTGATGGTGACCGCAAACCCTAAAGTGACCTAACTTAGGGTGTGAATTTCCTTACACAAAATATAGAATGAATCTTGAAGCCTTCTTTCTTCTTCCACATCCGAAACTTTCCACGTCCTTTTTTGAAACTCTTCGCACATGTTTTGCCTCCCTTTGAACGTTGATGTTTTCTCCTTTATAATGGGATTAATAAGTTGCTTTAAAGCTGAACCCTCCATTTAATCTAGGGAGTTTCACTAAAACACCCAAAATGGAGGTTGAAATTATAAAAAAAACCCAAGCACTATTTAAACATATAAACACACCCAAAACCCATCATTACACACACTCAAAACCCATTTATAAACATATCCAAAAAGTTGACTTTGTGGTTAATTTTGGGTGTGTTTCTATGTTTAAATAGTGCTGGGGTTTTTTTATAAATACATGTCTAGGATTGGGTTTATTTATAAATTTGTATTTAATCTAACCACTCTTAACAAATTCCGCATCTAGATAAAAGAAAAAAAAACAAACAAACAGGGCTTTAATTTCAAAAATAAAAAAATAAGAAAGAAACATATGCATGTGTAGCTCATCCGTTGAATGGTATTCGAGAATGACTAGACTGAGCTAAATTAATATGGACTTGTTCAAGCAAGTATTTAATTAACGTGGTCTTGACTGAGCTAAAATGGGGAAGTGTAAGAATGGAAAGAAATGTCATACATAGTTGAAAAACTTTGCTAGGCTTTATATAGAGAAATAGGTGTCCACCATGTTATCAAAGCCACATTTGGTCACATATGAAGCCCAATGACTACACATACTCACATATAAAATTCAACCACCACACGTACTCCGCATAGAACAAGTCCTTACCTTTATAAGCACGTTCAATGAAAATTCAGAAAAATATCACTAAAACAAGAGGATATATATATATATAGTGTTGATTGACCAATATACTTTTTTTGTTAAAATTGACACCCTACTATTCTTTTCCCCCTCTCACTTTCTATCCTTGTTGACAAGAATATAATGATATGCCCCATCATCAATTATCAATTTTCATGCCCCATCATCAAAAAATCAGTAAAGAAAACTCAACTCCAGTCCAGTGGCTCGTGCCAATTCATATCGTTGCTGGCCAGAGGGGTTGTAACTACGGTGACAATATACCTAAGATTTGAGTCCGAATTTCCCTCCCACATTCCTTTTGTAACCAACTAATATTGTTGACCGACCCCAGAGAGCACCGGGAAGGAGCCGTAGGCATATTAAAAACATCAACCCAAAAAAAAAAAAAACCACGCAACGATAGCGAAATGTCCTCAACAGTTCACGTTGCACATACTCACACATCATCATCTCACCACCGCTCATGTTGAACCCCTGCCTTTCTTTCCTGCCATAAAACACAACATAATACTTGAAGCCCATGCGCCGCCGTGCCTGGCGCACAATAGAAATGAGCCAACCACATTATACTTTCACTAATTCGCTTCCGCAGAAACCCGGTGTTGAAGTTGAACCACCACTCTTTAAATTAAATGTTCCCAAAATCCTAACAATTATATAAATAAACCCAATTTCTGCACACCCACCATATGTGCAAATCCAAAATGTCAGCCGACGCCACCCAGCCCATCTCCACTCCTCGGCGCACCCCTCGCACTCCGAAATTGGCTCAACCCACCGCCTCCACCGCCTCTTCCTTCGAGCCCTCAACCTCCAACAACCTAAGCGGCCGCTACACCTCCAACTCAAGCTACAAACTCTCCTCCCAGTCCCAAGCCTCCACCTCTTCCTCGTCAACCTCTCTCTCCACCCTCATAGACTCCCTCCCCGTCCCCGAAAACCCGATCCTCTACGACTACTCCGAGCTCTGCGCCGCCACCAACAACTTCCTCTCCAAGCGCTTCAACCCCACGCCCTCCTCCTCCTCCTCCACCCCCTCCTGGCGCTGCACCCTCCGCGGCAAGGACGCCGTCATTTTCCAACGCAAATTCCGCGTTAAGCTCTCCACCCCGGAGCTCAGGCAACGACTCTCCACTCTCTGCCGCAGCCACCACACCTCCATCACCAAGCTCCTCGGCGCCTGCGTCTCCAGCGACTACGCGTTCCTAGTCTACGAGTTCGTCAGCGGCGCCAGCCTGGCAGCCTGCCTCCGGAACCCAAACAACCCGAATTACACGGTCCTGTCCACGTGGGCCTCCAGGATGCAGATCGCCACGGATCTCGCGCAGGGGCTGGACTACATCCACAACAGCACGGGCCTCAACGTCAATCTAGTCCACAACCACATCAAAAGCGGTAGCGTTTTGGTCACCGAGCCCCATTTCAACGCCCGCCTCTGCCATTTCGGGGCGGCCCAGCTCTGCGGCGAGACCGATTCGTACACCCATCTCAACCCGAATCCAAAATCCCGATCCGAAATCGAGGCCGTCGAAGGTCCCGACCCGAAATTGAACCGTACCAGCAGCCGGAAGAACCAGTTCGAAGGGGTGAGAGGGTACATGTCGCCGGAGTTTCAGGCCTCCGGCGTCGCGACGCAGAAGTCTGACGTGTACGCGTTCGGCGTGGTGCTCTTGGAGCTCCTGTCGGGGCAAGAGCCTTTCAAGTACAAGTTTGATAAAACCATGGGTGATTTTATCAGAAACTCGGTGGTCAACTCGGCCCAGGCTGCGATTCGGCATGGTGGTCTGAGGACCTGGGTGGATAGGAGGCTCAAGGACTCGTTCCCCGTGGAAGTGGCTGAGAAGTTGACACGTTTGGCTCTGGAGTGCGTACACGTGGACCCGGATCAACGGCCGAGCATGGGACGCGTGTCGGGGAAAATCTCCAAGCTTTATTTGGAGTCGAAGTTTTGGTCCGACAACATGAGGGCTCCTACCGGTATTTCGGTCTCGCTCGCCCCGAGATGATCCTTGTCATTTTGATCATACAACAATTTTTAATTTTTAATTTTGTAATTAGGGTTCGAATTTGAGAGCGACATAACTGGTTTTTTATTATTTTTATAATAACATAAGTGGTTATTTGGAACAAATTAAACAATGAAGTTATAATGACAGCAGTTGGAATTTTTGCTGCTCTCACATATATCTTAATCTTATGGCAATGGCAGTCAAGGCGGCGTGCCAATATTTTGATGTGTGACAAGATCATTTTGTTTTGTATGGTAGGTGCACATGAATATTGCTTCTAAACAAACCAACTTGATATTTTTCACAAGCAAAATCTGTTAGAATAAACAGAAGTCATGTCATCAGATTTTGGTGAATGTGTTTTGGGTGTAATGACAAACAAGTCTGAAATAAACTCTAGCAAACATAATGACTCTTCCTTACTATTTAGGGCATGTTTAATTATTAGGAATAGATGACATTATGAATC